AATATTTCAATATTTGCTACAATTTACTGTGTTTCCATTGTTTATGAGTAAAAAGCATTATTTCGTTTCAGTAACAAAAAAAAATTTAGATAAATAGAAAAGTAGATAACAAATATAAATTTTTATAATAAAATACATTAACCGTAAAAATCAGCCGAAAAGTTCAATTACTTCCGATCAATGTTATAAAGCAAGAATAAATCGCTATAATTCTGCTTATTCAACTTGATAATTAAACGTATCTTTTTTTTTCAATTTTAGGAAGCGTAATAAATATGTGTGTAATGTAATTAAATAAAACATGGGTTTTTATATATATTTTTTTAATGTATATATCTTATAAATGTTATAATTATTATCACATGCTTTATGTATCTGTGTGAATATATATTCAATCTCGAAATATATTTAAATAATTACACGAATCTCCGAATTACTGCAAATTTATGTGCCAAAAGCTCATTTATAACGCAAACAATAACATTAAATTCGTAAAAGATTCGAGAAATTTTGAAATAAACGAAATAACGTTAAAATAATATAACGATACAATTTCCTACTTGTAATACCTTAGCTATAACATTAACTTTATAGTTGAGAAATTTTTAAATAATAATAACATAAAAATGATAAAATGATAAAATCTGCTACATGCTAGAATTATTTTAGAGATGACATTAAATTTGTAATCGAGAAATTTTTAAATAAATTTAAAATAATAAAATAATACAATCTAGTACATACTTATAATACTTTAAGACAACATTAATCATGATCGAGGAATTCTCATCAGCATAAGCATAACATTAAAATAACAAAAGAAATGATACAGTATCTTACACATAATGATTCAAAATATTGTTACATTATTTATCAGTGATTCAAATATAGACGGAACATTTGCACAGATAATTAAAACATAATTTGTTGAAATATTTAACATATGTCCAGCGATATTTGTACTGTTCCCTTCTCTTCGTATTTAAAAATTTTTTTATGCTTTTTTCTACATGTTCACGAATATTAAAAAAATTTAATGTAACAATATTTATTTTTGCAAGACATACATTTGCTCGAATATTCGGTAATTTTGTCAAAGCCCTTAAGTGTGTGTGTGCGCGCGCGCGTGTGTGTGTGTGTGTGTGTGTGTGTGTAATAATTTTTAATAACATGGATAGTATGTTTGTTTCTTACGCATTTACCAATATATTCAAACTTTTACTTTTTACATGATTCTTTAAAATCATTTCATAAAGTCATATAAAATGTAGACGTGCGAACTCTTCAAAAAGTATTCACACAAGCATTGTAAAAAGAAACTGAAGGAATATATATTTTGTATGTGGATTTGGAGAAATATTATCTTCTTATAGAGAAGAATACATCTATGCCCAACTGCGACATATATAATCCTCCAGTTCTTTCTTAACACAGTCGTTAGTGATTTGCTAAGGGTTTTGACGTCTACTTTTTTCACAATAATATTGTATAAAAAAATATTTAAGATATATTAAAGATATTTTTATGTTAAATTGTAAAACATATAATCAGTAGTTTCCTTCTTCAAATATTGAGTGACGTAAACAGATCTGTTTTAAGCTGCAGAATGCGATTTGATAAAATTTACATAAATATTTCGAATAAATACTAATTATCTAAGTTTTGTTATATATGCGCTGAGTACGTCACTCAAACAATCGTCACTAGAGAAAAAATTTGTTACATTTATGAAATCGGTTTAGTTTTTATAAATGTAGTAACACAGTATTTGATTTTAAAGCATAATTTGAAGAATATTACATTTTAAAGTAATATCTATAATTATGTATATAATTTCATAAATTTAAACAATTCAGTTAAGTTATAAATTTATAAATATATACGTATTTAAATTTACAAATCTTATACATTTATATAAACACAAAACCGATATGCGATAAATAAGTCAAATTATACACCAATGTCTTCATGTATTTCAAATCACTTGAATCAAAGTCAAGACTGTCATTATCGCTGGTCATGAGATGCTACTTAAAAATGTCGCTACCATCATTTCCATTGTCAAATGTAGATAAATGTATATAAACATCTGTAATAAAAAACAAATATTAATTATGTGATTTTTGTTCTTTTTTATCACATTTTGATTGAGTACACCAGTGCTCGGAATTAGTCTGAACATTTCAGCCGATTTCCGTGGTATACGCCTCCTTTTCTCTCCTTACCGCGCGCGCCGCAGCCGCTAGGGCCAGCGCTGCCGAACGTTAGGAGCGGCACTATCTGATTAGGTTCTATGAGTAGGTTCTTCTCCCTATTTATTAAAATTAAAAATTATTAAATTTATTAAAAATAATTTTTTTTAAATTTATTAAGTGGAAATATTTCAATAGATTTCTACGTCACCCATGAGGTACTAATACTGACACGTTTTTCAAAAAGTGGTTTCTATTTACATTATTGCATCAATTGTTCATTCT